GATGATCCTTATGGTCTCCCATCCAAGTATTAAAGGACAGCACTAACCATTCACTTAGCTTTTCAAGATCATCCAAGATACACTAGGACTGCCACCTACTTGGATATATATAATATACTTACTACAATGTGCAGTTCCACACAAATCACATGCCTCCACATGCTGAACTTTCATATAAGCCAACAACAATCTATTGATACTACTTTGAAATCTTTATCTACGTGGCTAATTGAACAGTCATAGCTGAGACACAGCTTTTCATTTGATTGTTGCCCATCACTCTAGCATAATGTGTATTTGTTCAAAGACATGCATACAAGAAAATATTTAAATTAATATTATGCTCCAGTAAGAAAATCTTTTTTAAAAAGATCTAGCACTACAAAAGAAATACAGGAAAATCATAAGAAAAGCTTATTCCTAATGTTCCTAGTTAACAAAATGAATGGAATTACTTACATATAGTTGAATTTTTCATATGGAGAAAATAAAATATACTGACTCCGAGCTTCCACCCTCAAAGTACACAGATAGTCCCCTACTTACAAACGGGTTACATTCCAAGAGGCTGTTTGTAAGTCCGTTTTGTTCGTAAGTCTATCAATCAAAAAAAACATGCGCAATTCACACCTTACATAAGTGGCAGTGTTGAAATAGGCGCTTGTGGCGATGGCGTAGGCGCTTGCGGTGATGGCACAGGCTCATCCTCTGTACTTTTTTCAACCTTCCTGAAGAAGTGGTCCAGTAAACTTTGGGTGGTGGTCTTCCTTGTCTCCTCATAAACGACGCTGTAGCACTGGATTGCATCACGGACAGCTGCAGACACCTTGGTGAAGCGCTCCACGTTAGGGTCCTGCATCTCAAACAGTGATAGCACTTTCTCAATCAAGCCTCCGCCATCAGCTTGGTCTGGAACCACTTTGGTGGTTCAATCTCTTTCTCTTGTTTTTGCTGTTCCTCCAACTCCATGAGGTCTTCACTGGAGAGGTCCTCTGTCTGCAGCTAGCAGCTCATGAAAGTCTCCCTCCTCCAGGTCGAGCTGAAGCTCCTTGCTGAGGGCAACCAAGTTGCTGATAACAGCCTGCGACTCCCTTTCTGCCACCTTAAGCCCACGAGAGTCTTGAACAAACTGAGGGCACACACATTTCCACACCCCGTTCATGTTCGCAGGGATAACCTCATGCCAGGCTGCATCAATGTTCTTGATGGGCTTGTAGATGCCATAGGACTTCAAGGCTTGCTCAAGGTCATCTGTGAGTCCACTTAGGTTGCCTGGACTGCCTGCCTAAGCATGCGCCAAAGACAGTGTTTTTTGAAGGTTCCTATAATTCCCTGCTCCATCAGCTGCAGAAGGGAGGTGGTATTGGGAGGCAGATACACAACCTTCACATTCAGATGGAAATCATCCAAGTAAGGAGGATGACCTGGGGCATTATCCAATATCAGCAGAATCTTGAATTCGATGTTTTGCGCGTGGCAGTACCTCTCCGCTTCCAGGATGAAATGGTGGAAAAACCAATCCTCAAAGATGACAAGGGTGACCCAAGCTTTCTTGTTAGACTTCCACACAACAGGAAGTGAGCTTTTTGAGATGTTCTTGAGAGCTTGTGGGTTCTCAGAGTAGTAGACTAACAGCGGTTTTAGGCTCTGGTCACCAGAAGCATTGCCACCTAGCAGCACAGTTAGCCTATCCTTCCCAGCTTTGAAGCCTGGCATGGTCTTCTCCTCCTTGCTGATGTACATTCTGTCCGGCATTTTCTTCCAATAAAGCCCCATTTCATCCACACCGAATATTTGCTGGGGGAAATAACTATCTTCCTCAATGATCTCCTTGAGGGTTTCTGGGAACTCCTTGGCTGCAGCCTCATCTGCACATGCTGCCTCACCACTGACTTTCACATTATGAAGATTCATACCAACCTTAAAGCGGTGGAACCACCCCATGGTTTGCAGCAAACACGTCTTCAACAACACCTTCACTGGCCTTCTGTTGTAAGTCATGGAATAAGCTCTTAGTCTTCTCCTGGATCATCATTAGGCTAAGCGGCACACGGCGCCGATGCTGGTCATCGATCCACATGCCGAGCAGCACCTCCATCTTTCCATTACTTTCCCTCTCCTCTTGCATATTATTGTGGATTGCGCAGGCACTGAACTTTTCACATGTTCCATGATCTTGCCTTTGTTCTTAATAATAGTTCCGATAGTGGAATGATTCATGCTGTAGGAACGTGCCACATTCGCCATCTTCTCCCCCCCTCCATTTTCTTCAATATCTCCATCTTCTTGAGCATCATAATGGATTGCCGCTTCTTTGCACTACCCCCCTCCCCTTCAGGAGTCTTCTGCTTAATTGCAGACATTTGCAGTTAAGCAATTTGCAGTCGCCACACACTAATACAACCAACCATGCAAGAAGTCAGGACCAGAATTCGGCATTGGAAGTCAGTAGATGGTGGGAAAGGGTTAGTTTTCAGCGTGCTTTCTTCCAAATTCCAGCCCAACTTCCGGTGCCAACTTCTGGGTCCATCTTGTTCATATCAGCTGAAGTTCACAACTTGAAAGTTTGTATGTAGGAGACCTTCTGTATTCATTTGTATTTGTTATAATACAATTATAACAAATTTGTTATAA